GTTAAAACACTTGGCATATTAAAAATTGATAATATATATAAAAGCTCTTTAATTCTTAATTTAGAAAATAATAGCATGTGTTGAAATATGTATGATATATCATGTGATTATTTCCAATTAATTTTAAATATATTTTTTTATTAAGAAGAATTTAATAAAACTGCATACGAATAAATCTAAATTCAAGATGGAGAATCGACTAGTTTCTGATATTTCAGAAAATGTTGCAAATTTTATTTTAAAGAATTATTTAAATTATCAAATATTCTCTTTTCTCAATTTCTCATTTTTCACAATTAAATCGCGAATTATTTCGCTATTTATCTCTCACATTTTCTCGCGCGGCGAGCGAGTGGTCTTCGAATTTCTTGCAGCATCTCGCGATCCTTTACGAGCCGCAAGCCGCGTTTCTCTCGCCAAGTGATCTATTGGTGAACCATCTGGTCGCGAGTCGTCGTAGGGACGACGCATTTACGGGCAGCTAAGTGGCCTTTACCCGGCTTTGGTTCCCGAAAGCGCGATAATAAATTTCGGTTCGCCGTTTCGTACGCGCCGCGCCATCCGCCTTTAATTTGACGGGCCGGGATCTCGTTACACTCGTTAGTGACAAACGGAGAGGAACGAAAATGCGGCGGAGAAAAGCGCGGCCGATCATCGCAAGCGCCGGTCTTTTTTCGAGATACCGAGAAGAAGTTCTAAGACCGGTAGTTTTCAATCGTGCATCGCAAGACTCAACATCTTTTGCCTCTGTAATAATTATTGCTTGTATATAAATATATATTCAATACTGAAAGAAAATTATTAATTTTTATTATTTAAATTATTAATTTTAAATTAATTAAGAAAATTAATTTGGAAAATATTATTAATAATTACTATTTAATTAATTATTTTATTTATTATTATTAATTACTATGTAATTATAATTATTGTTAGTACCGATAAAAAAAGAATTGTGAATGTAAATTACAAAAAAAAAAACAGAAAGTTAATTTCTAAATTTTATATATTTTAAATAATTTTCAATAATTTTGATTAGCTTTTAATTCGACTCATTATTATCTTTGATAGTACAACACATACGTATTACGTTTAAAAAATTCAAATAATAATACGAATGCCATGTCGGAGTTAAATCACCTTGAGTAAATAAATATAAAAATCGCGCATACGTTTTTACAAAATATTTGCCTCGAGATAAAAAAAAATCGAACGCCACCGTCGAGGGCTAACGATCCTGCATCATGTACATTTGCGAGCGTGCAGTTAACGTTTCGGCCGCTACCGGAAACTAGTTCGTCGCGCGACGCGAAATTCACGCGAAACTCGGCTCCGCCGCAGCGGTGCTGATATTGTAATAAACTGTGAGGCCGCACCGCAGCCATTAATTCACGTGAATCGCAAGTCCTTGGCGGCAATAGTCCGCGCAAAGGGCGCATAAGAAGGCGAAATTTAGTGAGCCACTGGCGGGAACGTGCAAACCTCTAATGGCCATTCCAGTCGACTATGCTTCTCGACCACAGCGAAGCGAGAGTCCCCTCCTGGCTCTGCCAGGTCCTCCCGACATGGCATGGTACCTCACCAAACCGTGCGGCCCTTCTAACTCGTTCTCTCCGCCCTCCCTCTCTCTCTCTCTCTCTCTCACTCGCTACACATCAGCCCTCTTCCGCATCAACCCTTCTTCTCCTGCGTATGCAACGGCGTTCCAGCAATTACGCATCGCCGCAGTTAAATACAATGGCCAGGACAACGACTCTGTAATTTATCCCTGGTTTGGGCCACCACCTGCGTTTGTTTCCAACGACGGTGGAGGTCATCGCGTCGCTCGCCCTTTCGCGCGATCCCGCATCCCACGATGCGTTTGCCACGTTTAAATTAATGATAAGTAATAATGTCGCTGGCTCGCGTCGGTCGGCGCTCGCCGAATAAAATATCGAGTCGAGCGATTATTCAGCAAATTATACAAAAATATTCACTTCGGAAAATTTATAGGCTCCGCCTTGTAAATTTTAAAGTGATATATAAACGTTCGATAACACCCGAAAAATTATTACTTAATTTCGAATGCGTAATTTACACTCGTAAGTTATTTATATATTAATATATTATTTATATATTATATATTAATTTATATGTATGCCGATGTAATTATAAGAATGTGCATCATCAGGATGTCGAATTACTTCACCATGAATGCGCGTATGAATCTTTAATGACAGATACTGTCCTTATTAATATCTATCTCTGCTTCTTTGCGATGCAAATTTATGGTAATTGATAATGTATAATACACAGACGCGGTTCTTTAATGCAAAGATGATTATACATTTAAAGCTTGCATCGATAGAAGGCAAATAACGTGAACTTATAAGATCAAATTTCGTCTCGCGTCGCATGTAATTAATTGACGGATCGTTAAGAATTGATAATTAATTATGCGCGAATAAATGCTCGATATGTAAAACATTGTGTCAACTTGGTATACATCTAGGTAACGCGATATTGCTTAATTCTTGATATCGGAATAAAGTAATGCATGTATGTGTAATATTTTTCCCGAGATAACCTTGCTATGCACGATTCTGACAAAAAATACGCTCGTAAATCCGATCGCATTCATATCAAACATACATGTGCACGCCATATCGTCTAACAGGTGCGCACCTATATCGCTTATCTCTCAATAATCATCATGGTCCGTATATGAGCATGCTCGAATTAACCATCGTCAACTTCGATCGTATTCTATTTAAGGACACTTAAATGAATCGAAATTTGCGAAATTCTCAAATAACAAAAAGCATATATTTTCTCTGAATAAAAAAAATATATGTCGACAATTAATTATGCATGTGATAGATCTTGTCAATGAAATATAAACACATGATTTCTCTTTATACACAGAAAAAAAAACTATGTCAAATCAAAACTTATATATTTAAACTAACGTTCATTGTTTCGTATATACGCAACAATTTATAATCTTCTTAGAAGAATTTAATAATTTTAAATTTCAACAATATTATAATCTTATTTTAATATTGTAATTGTCATCTCAAGAATATATAATTATTTAATTCTACTTTATGAAAATTAGCTTTGATTTAAAAATGTTATTTTCTATCTATATATGTTATTTTCTAATATTGTTTCTTTTCCATTCAAAAAAATTAAATCTTAAAAATATATTTTTCTTGATTAAACTATATAAAATGGCTTCATTTGAGTAAGCAATTATTCAAGCAATTATATATATATATATATTTCTTTAATTAACGCAATATAATCTCATTTCAAGATTTCCATGTTAAAACTAAATATATCTTCAAAACAAGAATGTCCTTTTTCTGTGTAAACTTTTTCATACCTCCGTATCGAAATTATCATCATTTTTCAGTTTAACGTAAAAAGAAATGCATTTGTGTGTATTTGGTTGATCTTGTAAATTTAAACAGCACGTATCGCATGAATCTCAATATCCTGAAAAAGAGCAAAATCAATCTCAGTGATAGGGATTATGTATCACAGCTGCCAGACATCCCACTCGAGTATCCCGACGTTGCGTTCATCGGCCGCGCTCGAGATACCGGGCGGCTCGTTAGTTCGGGATCAATTAGCGCGTCGCGACCAGAAACGAGAGAACTTTGAGAGTTTTCCCGATGAAATAAAACGCCTTTCCAAAAACGCGACGTCGCGCGCGCGTAAATAACATCGGTCGAACGCCAGTACGACGTTAATTAACGATGCTAATTTACACGAGAATAATTTTAGACGAATGCTTGTACCGCAACGGCAACAGCTTAAGCGTTTCTCGCGGCAATATAATTGCTGAAATGGTAATCAAGCTATTATACATGTTATTGCATTCTTATTTCTCTTAATTTCACGCAAGCGAAGTGATGCAGGAATGCGTTTCTTTAGATTGCTTGTCATTTTTATTTGTTATTTTTATACTTGTTAACAATATTGTGTTATTTTGTATCTATATTTATCAATATCGATTTATTACACGAGATATTCCTTATTAATACTGATTAGTACTTGTAAGTTCTGGGAAATAAAATGATTGAGAAGAAAGAATGCATATTAAAGATTTCCTTTTGTTTCGATTTAATTAGAGACGAAACGTAAGCAGATTACATGGAATACTATCATTTATTGCGCGTATATAACATATATATCTAGATCTTTTTATTAATCTAGATCTTTTTTAAGAATTAAGGAATATACGCATAATATATGTACAATGTGAGATCGTTTTACGTTCACATAGTGTAATAACTATGTTTTAACTATTCTATTTGGTATTTTACATATACACAAGAGCGCAAGCTATTTACAGATTATATACAATAAAATAAATAATCCATATTTTTGATATAAGATTCATGTATAGACGTAAACTAATTAAATCTGACTCTATTAAATATCAATTCTAAATTATAAATATATATTTCTATAAGCGCGTAAGTTTTAATTATCGCATACATACTATACTTTATCATACTAAACTTTAGATTTAAAATCCTTATATAATCCTTATACAATGATTCAGTGATTCTTCACAACTTTTTCGATTTTAATCGTGTTCAAAGATTATGACATATTAATAATAACTAATAAATAAGAGAGAAATTTATAAAATCGCAAAACTTTTTATAAGAATAAAATATGTGAATAATTACAAGGAGAAACATAAGGGCATTTAAATTATTAATTTATTTCCATAAAATCCCCTCGGAATTTTAATTCTGCAAACCTATTTATTTAATTAAATATTAAAGTATAGAAATCAAATAATTTTCTATATTTCTTCTATGATTATCGATATAAATTTTGCTTAATCCTTTTCACTCTTTTAGCCATATATGCTGTATATATTTACATTTAAATGCGGAAATATTAAAATCAAATAATAATTTTCTATTGTTTCTCTCATGCATATAAATTATTAATATAGTATATAAATTTATTTGTTAATTTTTATGCAAAATCTTGCCTTATTGGTATTCGTCAAGTATATATAGATATATTTGAGGATAATTCAATAAATAAGATAACAAGATACGTTTTTGAAACAATTGCTAATGTTACCTTATTTATTGAATTATTGATTTATTTTTTACGTTATTTCTTCGATTGCACATTTCATAACAATTTCATTGTTGCTTCATGTTCAGTCTTCATTAAATCACCAATAATTATTACTCGTAATCTTTTTATAGATATTTTAATGACTTTCTTTGTCAATGTTTAACGTTAATGATTTTCAAGATATGACTATAATAATTTCAATCTTTAATTTCACGTTTCATCGTTTCCTTTCGAACTTACGCGAGTCTCAATGATTTCTTTCGGTTACCATCTCTTCGTCGTCCTCATCCACCGGCACGGTGGAATGATTGTAAAGACCTTGCGCCATTAGCTGAAGAGCCAACGGATTTTTCTGTCCGCTCGCCTTCTTCAGCTTCGCCCGTTTGTTCTGGAACCAGATTTTGATCTGGGCTTCATTGAGGTTCAGCTCCCGCGAGAGCTCCTGCCTCCTCTTTTCCGTCAGATATCGATTCTCATTGAATTCTCTTTTCAACCTGGACAGTTGTTCGGCGCTGAAGGCCGTTCTGGGTCTCTTCTCTTCCGGCAAACTGTTCTTACTGTTCTGCGAACGTTTCACTCGTCTTGTGCGCGGTCCTGAAACGACAAAGGAACTTCGCATTAATCTTCAGACTTTTATCATTTAAATCCGAGACAACGTGGCTAAGAGAGGGAGACATTATGTCGCGACGGAAAGTGGGCGTTCTCATCAATTTGTCCACACACACATACATACATGATGTGAATCAGCGTTTTTGCGATGATGAGACCGCGAACGAATGAGTCCGTTCATTCGCATGGCAGAAAGGACACTCGGAGATAACTACATCTGAGCAACGACTTTGGAATTTAGCGAAGGCGGAAATAGTTGGACTAATCGCGGAGGAATATCACGTATAAAATTCTACTTCATATACGAATTTGCAATTTTTCTATCTGATCTATGCGTGACTGGTTCCATTTTATATTTTTTTTGCACGCAATACATTTGCATTGCATTAAATAAATTTGATAGACTCTATTATTAAAAATGTATACAGATCGAATCGTGTATTTTTTTTATTCATGTCAATGATTGAAATTATAAAGCATACTTTTAAGCACGATAATCAGAATTTCGATTACTTTCAATTGCTTCGTAAAATAACGCTTACAAGTTCTGATTACATGCTTTTGATTTTTGTCCAACTAGTTAGATAACCCAATCATGCGCGAAGCTGAAATACATCCGCATGCTTTTGCGCAACTGTATAGCTATTGTTAATGGTCTTATTATCTTTGAAAAAAAAACCGTTAAGTGCGAATGCTGCAGTTGTTTGTAGTTTAAATTATTATCTCTACAATGCACTGTAATTATAATCAATAGTATGTAAAATATATATAATTATTCTCATTACTATTGTTAAAAAAAGTCGTCACTCTAGTTCTTTGTAAAGACCTATTTGTCGTTAATATTACTAATGTTTTCATCGTTTTAAAGATTAAAAAGAATTTAAAAAAATTTTTTTAAATTATAAAAAAAGAAAAAGAAAAAAAGAAAAAAAAAGAAAAAAACTTTAATACAATAAAAAACTGTAAACTTGTAAAAATATAAATATAATATATAAAGTAATAATGATATAAATTAAATAATTGTTGCGTCTTTATTCCGAAATATTTCATAAATTTATACTTGAGAGTTAACGTTTGACGATGAAGAGGCTCATGGAAGCCAAGTGACTCTCGACAATTAGCAACACGATTATCGGATCGAAGCTCGCGAACCACCCCGATGTGCGACAGAAGAAATGTTCACTTGAAAGAAAGAGAGAAAGATGCAGAAAAAAAGAAGGAAGAAAGGAACAAAGACGACAGAAGAGTAGCAGCATCGAATGTGGGACACTGATTGCAGAGGGTAGTTTCGCGAATGTAGGCTCTACACAATTAAGTCCTGCGAACGAAGGCAGGTGGCACCGGGCCGTTGACCTCATTTATCTAACTCGCCGCTATTAGATATAACTTATGCAGCTCGTGATCCTTTCGAGATCTCCTGCGCGAAGTTAATAACTTATTGCGGTAATATCGAGCGGCGAAAATGGATATTAAGTCCATATGTCGATCGTGCGTCCTATAATTTATTTACAAAACGATTGTCTGACAAGGGATAATTAGACATTCGAGGATACTCGAATTCAAGTATGCGAGTTGAGCGCAATTAGAGAAAGAGAGTAGAAACCGTATAAAAAGGAAAGAGAGAAAGAGAGTGCACGATAAATCATTTAAATAAGTTTATCAAGTATACGAATCGCGATTTGTACATCGCGCGTTTCGTGTATTCTTATCATTAAGCGTCGTGTTCTCTCTGTGTCACACATTCGTGCCCCTTGAAGCTATTTTGTTCCTGTTTGTCGAAACGAATAGAGTCGCCAAGTCGAGAAAGCATGATTCGTTCGCGAAAGGATATGCGATTATTATGTAAAAAAAACAGCGCTTTCGTTAAGCCCTTTAATCGCGCGCAAAAAAACGGAGTGACTTTTTTGCTCAACCCATGACTCTCAGGTACAAAGCAAAGGTGATAAGCGCGGACGAAAACGACATTTTGCTCGGGGAAGGATTTTACTTATCTTTATGCCGCGTAATTTTTCAAATGCTTTGATAGAAATTTTAATTAGCGGTCGATCGTGATTTTATGACTGCATAGAACGGCATAAGTGAATAAAACATCTTGATAGACGTTTCCGACATTGTGACCACGCAAGTTCTTCTCGCAGGTATTGCATGTAGTTAAACGTACCAGTCACGTACTATGCTCACGAAAAATCCGATAAATTTCTAACCTGTTTGTTTTTTAGCGCACATTGTTAGACCGGTGTAGCAGAAAGCACGAAACCGATATCCATGTAAGATGACATGTTGCAAAAAAAATCGAGGAATAAATTCAAGAGAGCGATACGATTGCCTAATCCACCTGTATACAATTCACAATTATTACGTAATAATTAAATTTTCGTGAAATATATTTCATCGTACGAAAAAAGATTTATCTGTCGAACTTACCAGAGGACGGTCTGTCCGAGTATCTGGTGCAATATACCCATGCCGGCCATAAACTCTGGCTGTTGGAAACGTTTTGCTGACTCGCCGACGTGTTACCGCCGGTGTTCTCGCCGTTCAAAGACTCGCCGCTGATCGTGGACGATGTGGAACACAAGGACGGCGGGCCAGTGACCGAGCTGCTGGTGACCGAGCTTCTGCTGGAGGCCAGACTCTCGAGACTGCCGCTCCTACTGAGCCCATTGCCATGCCTCAGAGGTGACGTGATCCCGCAAAGGGACGAGAAGGCGTCCTTCTCCCGGTGGACCGAATAATTCGTCAACTGGGGCGACTGCGGGGATGAGAGTCGCGTGGACGACAGGCTGAGATCGCGCGGGAGCGGAAGTGGACTGTGTTGCAGATGCTGCGCGGGAATAGCGGCGGATATCGCAGATTCGCTCGATACCTTCGTGTTGAGAATGGCCTCGCGACCAAAATCCGGTTTGAGGATGTTGACGACGCTGAAGCGCAACGATCTCTCGGTATCTTGCTGATGATCCGGCTGACGATCTTGACGCGGCACTACGTGGCTCTCCGATGACAGCATGTGATGGTGATGAGTTGCAATCCCCAATCGCAATCTATACGCGCTTTCCATGGCTACAAGAGCCATTTTTTACAGAGTCTTTGCTCGATAAAATGAGACGGGAGATTGATAGCGACACTAGTCTCTAGTCGCTTTATCGAGAAGAGAACACATGGTTTCACTGTCCACTGTGCTCTCGCTTAAATTAAATTGCTATCGAAGCCACGATATAAATGAACGCGAATTTCTGAATCGTTTGTGATCTTAAAAGTTTAGTCGTTACACACCATTCACCAATGTCATCGTTCACGTGTCGCTATATTCATCACGAATCACTTATTTCGTGATTGCACGATCTTGTTATTCACTGATCAATTAATTTTCTTGGAAACTTTGAATTTATTATAATCGTCTCGTATCTGAATGTATCGCACGATAAAGGCATCGCATGAAATACTCTAGAAGTATTCATGCATCCGGTATGGTAGTGGCGTGTTAATTATCGGCTCGTCTTCGGAGCCGGTCCGGAGACTCCTGCTATCGGCTTTTCCCGAGGGTTTCCGAGTACTCTGGCGAGTGCTGTGACGGGTCTGACTGGCTGTCCATCCGTCGCTCAGTGATGTCTAAACTAGGGGACCAGCGGTCCCTACTTACCGCCTGTCCCTCCTCGCCCCTGTCCCCTTCACTCCTCCTACGCCGCAGTCCCGAGTGCAGTGCACTAGACACTCTCGATTGTATCTCTATTAACTCTTCGGTCAAAGGCTCCGCCTACCTTACTGGTAAGGTGTACCACGCTCCCTTCTGCCTGTCGTCATCCCCACTGCCAGTGGTACGGGTAGTAGGGGGCTATGTTCGCGGAATTTGCTGGAAATCAATGTTACGCTTCTTCCACGATGAGAGATTCGTCTCTCTTTATTCTATCACTTTACGACGATTGGCCGATTTAGTTGAGACATTTAGCGATCTATCTCGAGCGATCTATCTTTATTAATTTTTATATAAAATTTTAATATTGATATTTACAACATTTGACATTAAGAGATCCCTTCAAAATTTTAATATACAAAATTAAATTATTTATTATTAATTTAGGTCGATAAAACAGATGTCAATGGAGAAACCTATAGAAACCTCTAAACTGTTTCTAAATTTTTTTAAATTTACAAACAATATTTAAAATAAAATTATAATTAGAAAAATTGATAAAAAATTTTGTTTTTTAATTTTGTACGAGAGAACATACAGTTTACGGAGATTCACGGTCCATTTGATATTGCACGCTGCATAAATATACGGATATCCGCGCCACTGTGCGTACAATAACGAGAATACTCACTTCTCTCCGCCCCATTTGAGTTCTCCCTCCATGTATACAACTCTCAGGTCTCGCCCATGTTCTCGCCCCTTTTCCCACCACACCACGCCTAACTCCCCTCTATATTCTACCCTCTACTCCATACTTTTGTCCCTCCCCCACCCTGGCAATGTTGTCGACCCGATCAGAGGCTGAAGCCGACTAATTCGTTTCTTCATGCCGAAGAGCGTTATCCCTTCCTCCCCTAGCCCTTCATCTCGATGCGACCGTGGATTTTATCGTCGCGCGACGGAATCGCTTCATACAAAAATTTGCACGAACACCATCAGCCGTGACCCTCTTTTATTCTCCTCTTTTTTCTGGCTCGGCGACGACTTTGCGACGGTTAACGAACAAATGTATTACCCACCCTATACGGCAGATGTTGTTCTTCTCTTTGCTCCTCTTCCAACATCCTTCCTCTCTTTCCTTCTCTCTCCTTCTCTCGCTCGATACATTATCTATGTACGTCGTATATCTAGTTTTCGCCTCTATATCTTATTCAGCGTAGCTTATTTCTAGATCGCTTAATCGCACTGATGTTCCCGAGATGATTAGAAAACGAGGGACGGTAGTCGAGTCTTTTGTTTGCACTTTACGTGACTTTACACGACGCAGCTACCGTGTAATATATTTTCTGTAATCAGTTCTGCATCGTAAATCTCTGCACGCGCATCGCATTTGAATGTTTAAGAGTTCAGAAGATGCTTTGGAATATTTTATAAGAATGGTGTGTGATTTACTTGAATTTTTTGCGCATAACGCGAAAACTATTAATATCCTAGCGATGAAACAGATTATATTTCATATATTTTCTCTATAATTTTCAAGAGATGTAATATTTTTTATTTTTGTAAACACACACATATGCAGGATGGGATATACATGATACAATTTATCGAAAATCAGACTAGATCAAAATTGAATCTTTTTCTTCAAGTAGTTTTTCACTCGCAGCGTGCAATCATCACATGGAACGACGATGACGATACGTTCGCCAGTTAATCAACAGAACAAGATTACTCGGCCATTAACTCTTTAACGTCTAATCGTATGGGATGCTCTTCCTACGGAGGAAGCGTTATTCGGAGCTGACATGAAAGCAACGAGGCTACGCATTAGGAGCACGCGAGACGTATAAGGAGTCGTCGTTAAAACGGTTGCAATTAAAGCCCGCGATGTAACGCGATGCAGAAGTCGCACGCGATAAAAGTCAGATGTTTCGCGCGGTAATTGGCGGAGACACTCGACCAACCGTTCACGCCTAAGAAAACACGCTTGTAGAAAACGCGATGCAAGATGAATAATACTCCTGGAAATGGAATTTGGTAGAGAAAAAAAGTATTCAATTAATCCGAAACTTTGATTTCAATGAAATTTACATACACGTGTCCAGGAAATATTAATAAATGATAGAATTTAGAACTATTTAATTGCTGCTATAAAAAAAATATTAGGAAATGTGTAAAAAATGCTTACGTTTGAATTAAAATGGTATTTGAAAAATATTCTCGTACAATGTATTCTAAATTATACGTGTGCTTTAGTATCAGACATAAATAAAAAGACACTTCCATTTATAAAATATATGACACACATATTTTTACAACTTTTTCCATTTAAAATATCCATAAATTTCTATTATAAATATTTATAATATTAGTGCAAGTGCGACGATTTAAAAGCTCATACATCATTTATGACATTCAAGGTAGCTGCCAAATAATGAACTGTTTTGCCAAGTGTGTCGAGTTAACAAACTCATTAATGCTATTTGGTAGAACAATATGTAGCTAAAAGTGAACGCGTAATTAGCACTGAGATAACTTTTCAGATGAAAGTTATGGCATACTCGCACTTGACATAACTCAACATTTTTATCAGCGATCAGTTGATCACCTCTCGCTCGAGCTCTTACATAAAACATCATAAATTACGGAAGTTTCATTTTTTTCACGCCAATTATTGTTCATATCGATGGCCTTTAAACCTCGAATAATATACCACAATTTACCAGCCATTGATTCTACTCGAGTTAACGATGTTGTTTATATCTCCCTTCATTAACATACCATTTGTCTCATTTAATTATTTTTAGTGTTGATCGTTTGATAGTTTTGAAATAATTAAACCAGTCAAAGTAACACATTAACCACCTGATCAATTAAAGCAGACGTAAGATGTTATTTATCAACAAGAAAGAAAATTTCATTTCATTTCAACAATTACAAACATGCTGATGATAACGTTTAATATGGATAATTTAAAAAATATGCGCATATAACATGATACATTTTTTTAAACATGTGTTAATTTTTTTTATTTTTGTGCCCCCTTTTCTTATCAAAATTGAATATTTTTATTACGTCGCATTATCATATCATGTTCAAAATTAAAAAATATTAAAGAGAAAAATATAAATTATTTTTAAGCAATGTATGATTTAAGATAAAATATGCAACTCTGCAATCTTTTATTAACCGACATATATGACTATACCTGGGTATATTTTTTATACCCATCTTTAGTATCTCTTCATGAACTAGCGTCTTTTTATTCGCCACAATGTAGACGATGTCGGCGAATTACGTCCGTTCGTCCCTTCGCGTAAAAAGATCCATTTTCAGGAAAGAATATACGATTCTCTCTGATATAAACGGCTTTGGAAGGTATTTTTTGCCGCGCGCGTCTTGTTGACGACTGTCGTTGCTTGGTTCCTATGTGTTGTTCAGTTCTACTCGACACAGGGTGATTCCTTTGTTCTCCTCCTCATGAAGTCTGCAAAGGAGCGCATAAGATCGTCGTTGCACAGCCGACGGTTTTATTAATGGCCACACCTCAACATGGATACCAGCTGCCATGTGAGCCGCAAGGCGATCATTAGCTATGAGCTCGGTTCGTGTAAGGACAATAATAGAGATAGCGACCATAAATAACTGTAACGTGTCCATCTATCAATAAAGCGTCTAATTGAGGCAAGTTGTGTTCCACGAACCTAATAATTTTCATGTGAAATTATTTCGGACTAAAACGTGGATCGATTAAGACTGGACTAATTTCATCGAATGTCATTAAATGTTTCTTCATTTATTTAAAAGACCTATTATCCTTGTATTTGTTGAATAAACAATGTGTTGATAGTTAGTAGAATCATTAATACATCAAGAAATAATAAGAGAAACTTATCATTTCTTGATAAATTGATTAATAATTTGGTTACGTTGAAAGTTTAATTGCCAAAGAAAATACGTTAATGATAACATATAATTGTACAATATATAGACACGATATTTGGGTTCTTTTCACTAATAAATACATAATGTTGTTTACAATACTTCATGTACTTGTAATTCTTTTTTGTCCTTAATAACCATATTATATATTTTATAATTCATCCTCATCGTCAAAAATCTTTATTTTATTAATTCGATATCAAATAGGTCTTGAAGACAAATATAAATTTAAGTATTAAAGTTTAATCATTGATATATGTCATGCACCATTTCATTACAAGTAACACAATTCGCAAAGGACTAACTAGCTGCGCGTCATCAGCTGTTCAGAACCAGGTTATTACAAGAGCTCCTATTCGGAGATCGCCGGCCCGTCGCTCGTTATATACGGTGAGACGAAGAGACAAATCACCGAAATGCACAAGCCACCTTTAATCCCCCTCGTTAGAATACGGCGAGGCCGCGAGCGAGTTTACAAAGTTCTCTCTCGGAGAAAGAAAAAGAAAGAGAGAGAGAGAACATCTACGGCAAGACCAATCGCCGCTCTGGACGTCAGGGATTGATTAGTTTTTCTGTCTCGCGAGTTCTCCCTTTTCTCCCCCTCTTCTCTTGCAAAACGAGCAACGAGATGCAGCGGGTCCAGCGCGACGCGGCTCGGTGCGGCGATCATTATTCCTCGAGAGCGCGATTTGTAAACGGGTTCTATTTATGGCACTGCAAACTCTATAATCAGCCGCCGCAGGGGCGACGACTTATTTAGAATAATTAATGCAGGTACGACCTCACGAACCGGTCTGCAGCCAATCGGCGCTACGAGCACCCCACCATCCGCGCGGCAGAGGGGAAGTGATAGGCGGGATCAAACGCGCCGACGCCCAGCTTCACGGAGGGAGAGGAAGCCCTGCATGCAACCTCGCGTGTACAATCGCCACTGTCAGGGGAAGAGGAGACTCTCCGACTCCCCTGCAACCCCTTCTGTTCTACCCGTTCGCGCTACTCCATTCAACGCTTCGTCATTTTTTTCGAAGCGCGATATTTTCTGGAGCAACGCAGAATCCTGCGCGCGTAATCATGCGCGTGAGAAAAAACAATATTGAACAAAGCCGTTCCTCAAGCCTGTGTGGTTGAACCTTTTTTTTCCTGTGACAAGCTATGATCGAATCACGTACGTGAATTCTCCGTTGGAAAGTGAGTTGTTTTATTAAAGATCGATCATTCGATACATGAAATGGTATTCGATACATGAAATTTATTAATTAAGGATGTTTTGTATGTACAATCCCAGCAAAAAGTAGCTGAAAATCAATATTGACGAATATCCACTTTTGGTGTATTTTGAGTAAGAAATTGTGTGGAATATTACAATTTGAT